TGAGGGACAGTACCCAGGCCCAGAGTTCAGGCCCCACGACTGGCAAAAAAAAAAAAAAAAAGATTGGGCTGAGAAGCTGGCTCAGTGGTAGAGCACTTGCCTTGCATGCATGAGGCCCTGGGTTCAGTTCCTCAGCACCACATAAGCAAAAAGAAAAAAGCCAGAAGTGGCGCTGTAGCTCAAGTGGTAGAGTGCTCGCCTTGAGCTGAAGAGCTGAGGGACAGCACCCAGGCCCAGAGTTCAGGCCCTATTACCGGACCCCAAAAGAAAATTCAAAAAAAAATTCACAGAATGGATAAAGGTAAGACTGTACTTAGAGGTGACTGCCATCTTACTGAGAGGATAAGGGCTGACAAGAGTGTACTTAGAGGCAAAGTACTCCACTCACAGGGTGGATGAAGGTGGATGAGACTATATTAGGGTGAAGATCCTGACTTAGCCTCCGAGGGTGGATGAGTATTAGTGAGACTGTACTTAGAGGGGAAGTTCCTGCCTCACAGGGTGGTTGAAGGTTGGCAAGAATGCATATGGGGTAAAGATCCCTTCTAACAAGATGGCTGAAGGTTCTAGGAGATGTGGGTTTAAAAAGACAGGAATCACTGGCTCTGTCATTTTTGAATGCTTGCTCTCCCCAGTGTGAAATGGGACTCACCTCATGGAGATGCCTGAGAGTTCAGGCACCTGAGTTCTCTTGTCCTCACTGCTTGTGGCTGACGTCTACGTTCCTGTTACTGACATTAGCCCGACTCCCAGAGGTAAATGGATGTTCTGAACAGAAATCCACTCAGTAACCCTCTGTACAAGGAAGGCCTATACTTAGCCCTTGAATACCCTTCTGTCCCCAAACCAAGGGTAAGTTCCATGCACCACTATGCCTATCTACAAGGTGCCTCATCTGTGGGGTGATGATATCTTGCCTCCAGCCTGACTAGCCTTGGCTTTCCTGAAGCTGTGCATCCCGTGGCCCCTTCCTCTGGCCACCTAAGGACCCCATGGAGCAAACATGGAGCTCCTCACTCCATCCCATAGGCTTCAAAATGCATCTCTGTTGCAAGGACTTGGGAAACAAGTGATAGGTAGGAATACACACTACACTTGCAGCTGCCCAGGACTGCTCAAAATGTAAAATTCTGCAGTGAAATTAACAGTAGCACAAGTCATTAAGGTGTTTCCTCCTAAGTCATTTTCTTATAAGGCTTTCTTGACCTTAAGGAAATAATGACAGAGTAGGAATAAAGAACATTCGTTTCATTCCTTCAGAACAAACTACACAGCATAACAGACACAGCTGCTGACCAGCAACTGTAGATTAGGATTCTGTGGGTCACAATATTAGCCTTCCTTGAGCTGTGTTGGACACAGCCATTGGTCACGCCATCCTAGGAGTGTGGGAGAAAGGATGGAGGTGCTCCACCCACCTTGCAACTGTGTACAGATGTGAACATGGTTCTGTACCACATGCTGAGTGGAGCTTCTAGGTCTAGTCACAGTCTAGACTGTAAACAACCTATAAAATGTAAATCTTAATTTGAAATGGTTGTTTTGATTAAAACAAACTGACAGTTTAATAATTTTTCCAAATTCCTAAACATTCTTAGCTAGCAGTTTGCTTGAATGAATGGCAAAGAGACCTAAGAAAATGACTTCAAAATTGCATCCAGTCTGTTTTAGGATGGAAATGAAAATGTATTTCCAAGTATCTTGCTCGCCAAATGTCAACACTCTTTACAAAATTCTTCACAAGTTTCCAGTATATACTGTAAGTTAAACATCTGGAAACACGTAGGCTTAACATGGGCTCTAGACCACAGCTACACAGACACTACTTTCCACCGGGGTCAAAACAGTCTGTCTCTTCAGTTTCACAATAAGTGAAATGGTACTAGTAGTGTTCTCAGCACTCAAGCACACAATTTCGGGAAAGAAGCTTCTTTTTTTAAATAATCATACTGTTTCTTTCTTCTCTAACTTTCCAGATGCAATTTTACCTCACCTTTCAGAGCCATTGGGAGGGCTTTCTGGAAGTCTCAGTCCTTACATACACTGCACAGAAATCCATAAAGACAGACTTGCTTCTTCCTGACAAGGAACCAGCACCCGAAACACATTTTATGCATATAATCTCTCCTTCATGTGACTAAGAGGCCCACCAGGACTTTTGGAGGCTGGGATAGAAATGCCTAGGCCGTGGTACTCAATGAGGCCAGTCCTTGGGCTAGGGGTACTAATGCCTGGTACAGACAGAGCCCTCACAGCTTCATGAGGGATGTGCCGTCAGACACTCTCTGATATCTCTCTGGCTATAAAGGGGAAAAATGAAGTATTCTATGCCTTTAAACCTTAGAAAAGCAACTTCTGGAGTCTGTGGTCACAGACTGCCATGAAAATGTGCAGCTACACATATTTGTGGCTTCTCCTCGGTAGGCCCAGGATCCATTCAGGATCCAGAAAAAGACCAAAGTTATCCTGCCCTCACTGACACATGCCACACACAGAAGCCTTTATAGTCTACTTGGGGCCCTGGGCCTCCCAGGACCCTGCAAATCCACAGTGGGGACAGCAACCAGGACTCCTCTGCTACCAGGACAGCAGCCTGTCTTCCGTCTGAATTTCTTGTCTGCTTTCACACACTTATGCAATACTGTTGTGTCCCTGATCCACAACTTTGAACTTGGGACTGCCCTCAGACTTCCTATGGGGACGAGCCTCCACCTTGTACCCAGACAAAAGTGGACAGAAATTGGGCATCAGTAGCTCACATCTGTAATCCTCACTACTCGGGTATGAGATCTGAGGATTGTGTTTTGAAGCCAGTCTGGACAGAAGAGTCTTAAGACTTTTATCTGCAGTTAGTCAGCACAATGCTGGTCAGGAGACAAGGCTCAAGAATGCAGCACCAGTGTCAGTGAAAAACCTGAATGAGAGTGCAAGGCTTATAGTTCAAGACCAGTACTAGTGAACCCACACACACAGAAAAAAAAATGGCAGCAAGGACCCTGGAGGGAAGGGCCAAGTGAGGCATACATGCTCTCATTCCTCCAAGGTGAGAGGTGAGGACAGGCAGGGCCCAACCAACCTCCCACGGAGCCCAGGGTGGTCAAGCACCTATGAAGCTCAGAGGATGAGAGATTTTAAATCTGCCAGTGCTAGAGTTTTCAGTTTGATCCTCAAGCCCAAGGCTCAGCTTCAAAATGCTGATGACGAAGAAGCAAACAAACAAAGCAATCCTTTCTATGCATTTTGAAGTGTCGTGCAGGATCCAAACTGAGAAGCACGATTTTCTTCAAAGGAAACCATTCTTGAGCACTAGAGACATGCCAGCCACAGAACCCTGATGTAAACTCTTTTCACACTGAGGAAAGGTCTCTGTGTACAGAATCAGACTGGCAATCTCATCAAAGGTGGGACAACACAGGAAAGGCACTGTACTCACGCTCGTTGGGCGCTGGAGGGCAGCTTCATGTTGCAGCCTCACTCTCTGGGGCAACATCACATCATCCTGTGTAAAGAATACATTTTAAACTCATAAGCAACTCCATCACAATAGCAACCCTATCTGCTACTGGCAGAGCAAGAGGTGTGAGAGGGTAATTCAGCCGGTGTCTAAGCACCAGGACGCTTGCTGGTCATCAGGGAAAGGCAGTCACCATGCAACAGATGGGAAAATAGAAAATCCTGACAATTCCAAGGGTGACAAAGACACTCATTCTCAGCTGTCCGAGCGACAGTCTGGCATTGTCCAAACCGGAGGTATGTATTCCTGGTAATTTTACTACCTAGATAGAAAAGTCCTACCCAAATGAGACACAAACAGGAATGCTCACAGAAACCTTGCTTGGACATGGAGCATTAATTGCTTGAGTGTTAAATGGAAAAACAAATGGCACCTTACAGCTTTGTCTACTTAGTGCTGAGACTCAGTTACAGCCGCTCATATCAATAAATACACAAACCAACAATGAAAGAATAGATTGAAACATTATTCCACACATTATAATTCAAAACAAAGCAAAACTAATTGCATTACTTAAGAAATATGTATGTAATGCAAATCATAAAGGAAAGTAAGAGCATTATGATCTTGTAGGTCAGAGCCACGTCCCTCTGAGGAGAGGGCTAGGAGTAAGGTGCTGGCAACAGGCACCGCCTGACCAGGGGACGGCTCCCTCTGCACGGCTTCACCACTGAGCGTCCAAGTGCACACTGTGCATTTTTCTGTATGTTTGATCTCATGACAACAAAAAAGTATTTATGTGGAAGATCAATAAGCAAAGATTTAAATATTGTATTTAAAAGGCTAGGGTTATGGCTCAAGTGGTATAGTACTTATATAGCAAGTTCAAGGCCCTGATTTCAAACACTAGTGCTGCCAAAAACTTTTTTTTTTTGGTTGGTGCTGATCCTGGGGCTTGAACTCAGGACCAACATGCCATTTCTGAGTATTTTTGCTTATGGCTAGTACTCTACCACTATAGTCACACCTCCATTCCTGGCTCTTTGGCCGTTAATTGGAGGTAAAAGTCTCATGGACTTTCCTACTCAGGCTGGCTTCGAATCATCATCTTCAGATCTCAGCCTTCTAAGTAGCTAAGATTATAAGCATGAGCCACTGGCACCTCACAAAACTCTTTAAAGTTTTTTTTGGGGAAAAGCCCAGTGCAGGTGCCTGCAATTCTAGCTATACCACCCTGAGCAACTGACTTGACAGAACACTGGAGTGGCTGTTTGAAGACATAGCTACAGAGCCATTTCCAAGTGCACATGTACAGGGGTGGGGCCAGGTTCCCCAGAAACTGTGGTTGCTCTAGATCAAGGAGCCATGTATTGTGCTGTTTCTCCCATAGCAGAGTTCATGCATCCAGGAAATAAAGGGGTAGATCTGAGAATGATACAATTCATCACCACCAAAAGTGACCATATAGCAAAATTTTGCCTCTTCTTCCCATGGCCTTATGCTCTGGGTGCGAAAAGTCCTAGTTTCAGGGGGAGTGGGGGATGCTTCTACAGGAGACACCACACCAAATGGAAGTTAAGACTGCCCTGGCCACTGTGGGGTATTCATTTCTCTAGCTAACAGTGTGAGAAGGGAGCCGTGTGGCCAGAGATGCCTGATCTCTACCACAAAGAAGAAACCAGGCTGCCACCCTATGCTGGAGGTGAAGAAGGTCTACCATGCAGGAGAACAGTATCACCAGGCCCTCTGTATTAAGGTCCGAGTGACAAATGGCCTGGATTCTTCAGGAATGAAGGTATGGGCCCCCTTCAGGTAAAGAACAAGACCCACTGAAGCACTTGCTAAAGGTAGAAGGAACACAGTATGGGTATGGGATGGGCATAGCTATGAACATCAACTACAGCCACTTGACAGTTACAGAAATGAGAACTGTTGTTATAACAAGCATTTTCTAATTTTGTTATGAATACATTTGTGTGTGGGGGTGTATATATGTATACATACATATATACATATATGTATCTCTTAGCTAGTATTACACATGTGACCCACCAGTGCCCAGCAAAGAAGCAAAGATTTTTGCCTAATATACGTATGTATAATTTGCCTAATATATGTATGTATGTATACATATACATGTATACATACATATATTAGGCAAAAATCTTTGCTTCTTTGCTGGGCACTGGTGGGTCACATGTGTAATACTAGCTAAGAGGTTTGAGGATTGTAGTTTGAAGCCAGCCTGTGGTATAAAGTTCATGAGATTCTTACCTCTAACCACTAAAAAACAAAAATCTGGAAACATTTCAAGTGGTAGAGCACCAGCCTTGAACAAAAAAATCTAAAGGCAACATCTAGGATGAGTTCAAGACCCAATAGCAGCACATACACATACACCTCCTTATTCACCTATCATATAACTTAAGACAGGCAAACTTTGTATCAATATTTGAGTACTACTAATTTTGTATCACAGTACTTAAGTTACAAGATATCAGAAAAGTAAATATCACTCAAAGACTTTTTATACACAATAAGGCTGTCTCATATAGCATAATAAGTGAAACCCTACATAACTTGTGATGGTTAATTTTGTGCCAGCTTGACTGGGCTAAGGACTAGTAAATGTTTTGGGGTATAGGTGTGTCTATAAAGGTGCATTTGGAAGAAATTAACTTTTTTAAAAAAAATTATTGTAAGGGTGATGTACAGATGGGCCTGACTTTCCTCTCCCCAAAGTTGGATAGTTAATTTTCTTTTTTTCTTTTTTTGGTCGATCATGGGGCTTGAACTCTGGTCCTGGGCACTGCCCCTCAGCTCTTCAGCTCAAGGTGAGTGCTCTACCACTTCAGCCACAGTGCCACTTCCAGTTTTCTGGTGGTTAATTGGAGATAAGAGTCTCACAGACTTTCCGGCTGGGGCTGGCTTTGAACAGTGTTCCTCAGATCTCAGCTTCCTGAATTCATTTTCCAACCTAACATCTAGTGGGTTTCACTGTTGAATTGGTTCACCCTTTGTCTCACCGAGAAACTAGCTTATGAATCCGAGGACTTAGTAAAGAAAACCTACCCCTTTCAAGGTCCAGATAGAACAAAATGGTGGAAGAAGAGATTTCCTCTTCCTCTTTCTGCTTCAACCAGGAGGCCCATCTTCAGCTCCTCCCAGATAATGATACTCCTCATTCTTGGAAATTGGGACTCTGAAAGGTACTTAGTACACCATTGGTTCCTCTGGCTCTCAGGCCTTTGGCTCTGGACTGCAAGTTACACCATCAGCTTTCCTGGGACTCCAGCTTATGGACAGCAGAACACGGGACTCCTCAGCCTCTATGATCATGCAAGTTTCTCCCTACCCATATAGCTCTGTATGCCCTATGTCTTTTTTGGAGAATTCTGACTAATACAGACAGGGTTAATCAGACTCAAAGTTGGGGTCATGGTTAGCGTTTTTTGTATTAAGAGTTTTATGTAAAAAAGCACAATTGCCAGGTACTAGTTTTCTATATAAAAAGTATAATTTCCTGGTATTTCCCAGCTCTCAAGAGCCCAAACAACAGGGGCTGGGAAGGTGGCTCAGTGGTAGAGTGCTTGCCTTGCCTGAGGCCCTGGGTTCGATTCCTTAGCACCACATAAGCAAAAAGAAAAAAGCTGAAGTGGTGCTGTGGCTCAAGTGGTAGAACGCTAGCCTTGAGTTGAAGAGCTGAGGGACAGCGCCCAGGCCCAGAGTTCAGGCCCCACAACCGCCCCCCCCCCCGCAAAAAGAGCCCAGACAACATTCAAATATGATTTCCATCACTTCTATTAGAAGCAGCCCCCCACCCTGGGATTCTGAACGCTCTGAATCTACAGGAGCAAAGAGAACATGGAAGGCATTGACTCACTTGCCAAACCACCAAGAAACTAAGGCTGAGGTAGTGAGCAAATATTCAAGTTGAAAAATAAACAGCAAAGCAGGTACCAACTTCTTTTGGAAATTATGACCACTCTCTTGACTATAAATAAGTCCCTTGTTCTCTGGAGGCCACTGTAAGGAAAAAAAAAACCTTGATGAAAGACTGGAGAATGAAAAAGTCTTTATTACACATTAAAGTGGGGGTGGAGGCTCTGATAACAAGCCAGATCTGTTTCAGCTGGGTGATGATCCCATCTCTTTTGCAAAGTTCCCTGCCTACCCTGGCCCTGCCTCCTACTCCAGTCAGGTCCATTGTGCTCTAACTGGTGCAAAACACCAGGAGCTGGTTAACAAGGCCTGCTAGTATTTCAAACGCAAAGCAGAAGCACTAAAAGAAGAGATGCAAAGAGCTGTGAGCACCAGCTTTGAAAGCTAGTGTACCCATTTCAGAGTTTATGCCAAAGAATTTGTGAAGATCTCTCCTCTAACGGTGAGAGGTATGTTTAAAGCCTCATTACTGGTTTTCCCTGATATATCTATAATTCTACAACGAGGACCAAGGAATCATCATTGTAAAACGACTAGGCAGTCAGGAGGAGGATTAAACTAAATTAGAAACACAAGAAAATCCAAATCTATATTAAACATATGGAAAATTTGATAGCAGAGTAGTTATTTCTAGAGAGATAATAAGCAATGAGCCTGAAGATATGCAAAAATAACTTTTTCAGAATTCAGCATAACAAGACATGAAGATGGCAATTATATGCAACTGGAGTCCCAAAAAGAGAGTGAGGAAGAAGAGTGGAGAGTCCACATGTGAAACTTATGGCTGAGGAATTTCTATGACAGAAAGACACCAGCCCAGATGCACCAAACCCAACAAATGCTAAGTCAGGGAGAGAAACAAAATCCAGGAGCAAAGTCATTTCCAGGAGATGTGTGAGTTGGGATGATATGCTCAACATCAATACTTAGAAAAGCTAGGAGGGCCAGGCGCTGGTGGCTCACGCCTGTAATCCTAGCTACTCAGGAGGCTGAGATCTGAGGATCGAGGTTCAAAGCCAGCCCGGGCAGGAAAGACCGTGAGACTCCTATCTCCAATAAACCACCAGAAAACCGGAAGTGGCGCTGTAGCTCAAGTGGTAGAGCGCTCGCCTTGAGCTGAAGAGCTGAGGGACAGCGCCCAGGCCCAGAGTTCAAGCCCCACGACTGACAAAAAAAAAAAAAGAAAAGCTAGGAGGAAGCTGGGCAACAGTGGCTCACGCCTATAATCCTAGCTACTCAGGAGGCTGAGATCCGAGGATTGTAGTGCAAAGCCAACCCGAGCAGGAAAGTCCATGAGACTCTTGATCTCCACCAAATCACCAGAAAACCGGAAGTGGCACTGTGGCTCAAGTGCGCTAGCCTTGAGCTGAAGAGCTGAAGGCCCGTGCCCAGGCCCAGAGTTCAAGACCCATGACCGACAAAAAAAAAAGAAAGAAAGAAAGAAAAGAAAAGCTAGGAGAAGACTCAAACAGCAAGACACCAGCTAAAAAGCTCCACAGAGCCACTAGAAGCCCAAGGAAGGGCCCTGATGTGGAGGAGAAGGAAGTTGGGGAGGCATGCAGACCACAGAAGGTATTGTTGAGGTGGCTGTGCAGCCTTAGCCCACAGACCTGGTTATCAGAAATAAGGGTGGAATCACCCTGGTCATTAAATAGGTCTAAAAACTGCTCCTTACAACAAGAATCACCCAAAGGCTCCTTTCCAGTCAGCTTCAGGACACACATTTATAACAGGCCTGTACAACAGGAGGGAGAATCAGCTGTCAGGAGAACTCAGGCAATCAGAACCAGTGTATGCAGAGCAGCTTGTGGGCCTCGATAAGCTGCCTCTAAGGTATGAGAAGAAACACCTTTCAGGCCTAGACCTTTAAAAAAGTTTTTTTTAATTTAAATAAGCCACACAAAAGGAGTTCAATTTAACAAGTCAGATTGTAAGTATAAGGCATCTCAAACAGTGTCACCCTTTCCACTGTTCTCCCCTAACTTTCCCAATTGTATCTATTTGTTTCTATCTTAAGTTACATAGCTCAACTTTTTTTTTTTTTTTTTTTGCCAGTCCTGGGGCTTTAACTGTGGGCCTAGGTACTTCCCAGAGCTGCACTTGCTCAGAGGCCCCGCCCCCTCACCTCCTGAGCACCTGCTGTAGATTTCTGTTCTGTCCTTAGGCCCTGCCACTTGCTGTTTCCCTTCCCTGCTAGATCTTGGATCTCTGGGCTGCTTGCTCTGACCTCGTAGCTAGCAGGAAAGGAATTTCTTTTCATTTGAGAGAGAACAAGAGTCCCTTCTGACCAGCAAGATTCCAGAGGAAGAAGGAAGAACAAGCAATTGAAGGCACCCTGAGCTAGAAGCTGCTACCTGACACTAGCTATGATTTTATATCAGAGCACTGGAAATCTGACTCAGGCGACACCAGGACCACAAGTACATAGTAACTGAGCCTTCTCAAGGGCAAAATTCAGTCATCTCCCTTGGGAAATTTTGTTCATCCTCTGCCCACTTTGCCCTTATCACCACTGGAGCAGGATTCTGTGAACAGGATCCGGGCCAAGTTCCTGCATAAACATCCCCACCCAGGAGGAAACTGGGTGAATGAGCCCAGTGCCATCCACACTGACAGGTCACAACCTGCAACCTCTCTCAGGCACAGGTAGCTTGAGATTGGAGCTGACCACGGCTCCCAATCTGTTGCAGGAAAGCACAAATGTTTCAGAGGTACTCTCTAATTTTTCTCCTTGGGGTTTTCAGCAAGATCAAATCATTCTCCCTTCCCTGTCCTCCTCTTTGGACTCTGTACCTTGCCAACAGTGTGTCCTCCTAGGGCAGGCAATGTGTTTAGATATTGCTGTCCCCAAGATGAGTTTTTCTTGGTTTCTGTTGGTACACAGACCTCCCAAGCAGGAGCATGTGCCGGTCATCTCTTCCAGTCATAGATCTGTCTAGCCTTGCGCAATGTCTTAGGGATGTAGAAAGAAGTGTCTCTCCTCTCTCTGAGCCCACAAGTTGGTGGGGTGGAAGCATAGTGAGACAAACCAGAATATAAGGACAGATCAAATCATGGCAGGAAGCACAGCCAGTGCCCAGTAATGAAGCAACGTGAGCGTGCTGAGTGGTGGTGAGAAGTGCCCTACGTGCCACTATGACAGGAAGCAAAGTCTTCAACCCAGCATCTAGGAATACCTTGCTCAGAGAAAAATTCACAGGTAAGCTTGAATGCAATTCTCCTTGAACTGGGTTTAAAGACCCACCGCTCGCAAAGGAAACGCCCACTAGCTGCAAGTCACTCTGAAGCTTGTTAAAAACACAGAGCTGCCTGTGAGACCCTAAGAGCATACATCTGTAATGAGTGACTGGAAGGCATCATTTCTACAAGGTCTCTCCCTGATCAGAGGTTTTAGAACCAGAGCTCTGAAGAAGCAGCTGAACAAAGGCCGGGTGGTCCCCTTTTCTTAAGGCTTAAAATGAAAACACTCTGTAAAAATAAAAACATTTCAAAGATCACTATTGTCTGAGTCATTAGTCCCTCGGAAAAAATCAAGTTTAGTGGCATTTGGCAAGATCTACAGATTGCTAAAAATAATACACTATACAAATAAGAGGAAAATACCGAATTGCAGACACCATCAGAAAGTTGAGCACCTACAGCATTAAGACTTCTCATGACTCTCATAAGCCCTTGATAGGCTTTGTCTTTCCCCAGTTTTTTGGCAAAGAGCAAGATGTTTACCCATCATGGGTATGGCTGTCTTTGCATGGAACTATTAGAGTGACTGAGAATGAAAAACGAGCCCCCGAGGGTCAGAAAGTGCTAATAGAACAAGAGGGAGACTACATGTTCAATGGAAGGAAACTGGAGAAATCTGGTGTTTGGTTTAAGAAAATAAGAAGAGGGCTGGGAATGTGGCTTCATGCCTCACATTCATGAAGCCCTGGGTTTGGTTCCTCAGTACCACATACACAGAAAAGGCCAGAAGTGGCACTGTGGTTCAAGTGGTACAGCGCTAGCCTTGAGCAAAAGAAGCTCAGGGACAGCACCCAGGTCCTGAGTTCAAGCCCCAAGAATGGCCAAAAAAAAAAAAGAATAAGAAGAATGAAAGAGCAGCAGGAACTACATGCTGAGCTATGGTTTGACAGCAGAGCTATTTGATGCATAGGTTTACCAGGTCTGCAAATGTTATATCCCTCAAGGCCTGTACAGAGGGTTTTGGTGATCAAGGGGCAAAGCTGAGTAAGCATGACATAAGAAGAGGTTCTTCTTTGAGTTAATTTTGCCCCAACAGAAACAGAGAGAAGAGACCCAAGAGCACAGAAGTACCAGAATAGGATTCTGATAGGCTAGAAGCCTGGGCAGGGGACAGCAGACACAAATGAAGGTTCTCAAAGCTTGTCTTTTTCTTTCTAAACAGAAATCCATGGGGAAAAAAAAATGTAAAAGATCTGTGGCTGGGGACAGACTATATGTGCACTCATATACTCTTCCTCCACATTATAATCATGTGTCCTTTGCCAGAAATTCCCTATAAACACAACATAACCCTTTCACCAGCACTGTACCAGTATATGCTGGCAGACATCTCAACTTATTTCTAATTTTGTCACAGTGAACAACCCAGAGCAATCTCTGCATAAATCTTTCTTCAACATACCTAGAGGTGAAATTTAGAGGAATCAGGCACACAGCATTTTTAAAGTTCTTGAACAAAATATACAATCACACTGTTAATGTGGTACCAACTCATACTTTCTGAAATACTATCTACATAAAGTACTTTATTTTGTTTTTTTAAATTATTCTCACTAATTTATAGGATTACAAATGTAAATGTTTGCAATTTAACTTTGACTGATTTAAACCTCTGCTTGTTGCCTGCCTGATTACACCTGAGTTCTAATCCTGACCTCAGCCTATGAATCCACTAGTCCTATGGCTTGAACTTGGGGCCTGGCACTGTCCCTCAGCTTTTGTGCTCAAAGTTAGTGCTCTATCAATTGAGCCAGAACTCCATGCCCAGCTTTTTAGTAGTTAATTGGAGATAAGAGTATCATGGACTTTTCTACACAGGCTGGCTTTGAACTGCAAACCTTACATCTCATCCTCCTGAGTACCTAGGATTACAGGCATGAGCCACTGGCGCCCAGCTGTTTGTGTTTTCTTATCAATTGTGAAAAGCTATTTCCAGTTCTGGCTATTAATCTCTTAAGTATCATATTTTCTAGTATCATGTTAGCTTTTATTTTTTGTTTATAATATTTTCTGCAGTGCAGTCTTATGTTTTTATGACATTTTATTCATTGTTAGTTAACTTAGTAAGTGCTATAGCAATTAAGTGGCAACAACCCATCAACCTTAACTTCTAAGGCTGAGCATAATATATTTAAAAATAAGTTATAAGAACCACACTAAAGGGCTGGGAATGTGGCTCAGTGGTAGAGCGCTTGCCTACCAGACATGAAGCCCTGCATTTGATTCCTCAGTACCAAATAAACAGAAAAAAGCCTGAAGTGGTGCTATGGCTCAATTGGTAGAACGTTAGCCTTGAAAAAAAGAAGCTCAGGGACAGTGCTCAGACCCTGAATTCAAGCCCCAGCACCAATAAATAAATAAATAATTTTTTGAAAGGAACCACACTAAGATGTATAATCATTCAACATATAAATAGTTGTTAACAGAGTTACTTACTGAATCCAAAAAGCAGAGGTAAGTCCCTGAGCTCTGTGCAACTGCTTGATTTTTAGAATATCCAACTGTTGGAAAAAAGAGAAAAAAATAAAAACTCTTATAATTCAGTTTTCAACAGTATCAAGTTTAGTGTGCTTTACAGTCTAAGAGAACTAGGGACACGTGGCACTACATGGAAAAGTTAGAATTCAAGGACAGTAAATGAAAAACAATGTCCACATTTGGTAACCGATGTAAGGGAGTACAAGTAAAGGCATATCCAGTATCTGTCATAAAATTAAAACAAAAGTAATATGCCCCCTGGGAGGAGTGCATAAGTCTGCTGATGAATCAGGACCTGGTTACACAGAGTTTGCAGGTGTGCCTGGTTGATAAACTCCCAACCTGGAGGGCAGCTAGCCAAGCATTATAGCCATGGAGAAATGTAAGATCACTGCTGGTGTTGGCTGTACCTGAATATGAGCACACTCAGCTCCGGCTGTCACCTGAGTGTGCTCACTACACCTTGCCTGGTATAGATCCAGCAGAACTTTGTCTGAGCTCAGTTGTCACAGAGAGTGGTGCCCTTTCTTACGTTTTTTTTTTTTTGGTCGGTCGTGGGGCTTGAACTCTGGGCTTGGGCCCTGTCCCTCAGCTCTTCAGCTCAAGGCGAGCGCTCTACCACTTGAGCTACAGCACCACTTCCGGTTTTCTGGTGGTTTATTGGAGATAGGAGTCTCACGGTCTCTCTTGCCCGGGCTGGCTTTGAACCTCGATCCTCAGATCTCAGCCTCCTGAGTAGCTAGGATTACAGGCGTGAGCCACCAGCGCCCGGCAGAGTGGTGCCCTTTCTAACAACCTAAAGGTAGAGCTGCCTAAATGTAGACTGAAGAAATGAGATACTCAACACTGAGCAAACACAGCAATGTGGGTGTCTCACACCAGTGTCCAGTGAAGGACAACAGCCTCAAAGCAGAGGCTTCTGGGACACACAGCAGGGGGCCTAGGAAACAAGAGTTCTGTGCTTAGGAAGTGAGGAAGGGACCAGAGGTTGGGGACTCTGAGGGACCAGTAGTACATTTCCATTAGGGTGCTGGGTGAATAATGTATTCAGTTCATGAACAATAACCCAGTTGTATGAATATGGAAGTACTTTGTATTTTATTAAAAGCTCTTAAAAAAAACTTTGCTTGCAATGATACTTATAGCTGAGCAGAACACAGTAAAGTACCAAATGGTGCTTTAAAAAAATAAAAAAGGGGAGGGGGGACCAAGATGGCGACGGGGCAGTAGGGAAACTCCACAGCTCTCTCCAACCAAAAAGAGAGTTCGAGTTCCAACGCTTAATCTCCCCAAGAGACCGACAACAACAAAAAGACAAACACTCAGAGAAAAACCAGAGGTGGAAAATAACAAAAAAAGAAAGAGAGGAAAAGAAGAATTTCAGAACAGAGAAGAGTGAAGACCCCTCCCCCAACCTTTACTGGCCGCGGGGTAGTGCGCCAAGCCACCGGCCAGCCGGCCCGGCGGGGGCTGCCAGAGCCCCAGAGGGCCGCTTGCAGATCACCAGGTACCGGTTTGCAGAACAGCGGGTGGCCAGGAACAGAGAAACCTACCAGCCGGGAGTCTCCACGAGGATCCCACCCCCACCCCTCACTCTCCACCGGAGCAGAGAGGCTCCATCCCGCCAAAGCCGCCTGGCACCAGCAGCGCGACAAAGGGACCTGTTGGCAGACCATCCACCCGATCGCGATCGCAAAGACCCGGCAGGGGCTGCCCGGGTCCCAGAGGCACAGGGGGCTGCCTGCAGATCACCCGGGCAGAAGTCGCCTGAGGCACCAGCGTCAGACCCACCGGATCTCTACAACCCGCGAAGAAGCCGCCTGAGCGTGGACACTGTTGACCCGACAGCTTCGATAGAGGCAGAGACAGAAAAGAATCACACAGAGCCACCACCGCCCAACCCAGCCCGCAACCACCCCAACTGAACTCGGATTGCAGCTACAACTGACGACCTACACCACACAGAAACAACCAGCTCCAGGGTGAGTACCCCACAGGGGACAGTATATCCCTCAAGGGAGACCAGAGCTGGAGGGAATCCCCAGACCCTGACCTAGACTCCCCACCCCAACACCCGGACCACAGGACCCACTAAAACTGGGAACTGTTCGAGAGCTCCACCAGCCCGTAGAGCACACTCTGCTGGCCAGGCCAGAGCAAGAGTGCCCCGGGAAGGGAGCTTAAATGCCCAAGCCAGGAACAGCGCCCCTGGGTCAAGACTACCAACAGTAGAAGAAATTTGAACTGTGTCCTCCAGGCTGTATAACCTAGGTGGTATACACATCAGCACAGGCCTAACGAGC